AGCTCTCTTGGCATGAATGACAAGTGACAAAATTCTGTATCTTGTCCAATGCCTTAGAATGATCAGCTGAGTGTCCCACAGTAAACAGTAGTATTTGTAAAAATAATTTTTTTCTTCTTCTATTGGATGTATCTTTAAAAAAATACTATGGTTCTTTTAGGCAGATAGTGTAGCAGTCACATAGCAGATATAAATAGAAACAGACTCTCTCAGACCAATAGGTGAATTTCTTGTGCTACTTTTTCCAAGCTGCAAAGAAAAAGATCTGGTAACAGTGTGTGAAGAGTTTTCTCAGTAATAATTAAGCCACATGTTCAAAAAGGCATAAACTTCTGATGCATGGCCAACTGGGACAGAACAAAGACTGGGATCATTCCAGGGATGGGAAATATAGACTGCCTAACCAGTGTCACGTGCAATCAGACTATCTTCAAATACATTTTACTATATCATAAGAAGAATAAATAATGCTTTCATTTGAATACTTCCAAGACTGCCATCCTAAGATGAGCAACTGGAAAATTACTAATTGATATCAAAATGCCTCAACCAAATATGTTTATAGAAAAGAAATAACTCGCCAGAACTTAGAGCAAAACAGAATTGTGGATATTTATGTAATGGAAAATCTCATATTTTTTAAAATGCATAGAAGGCAGTCCTTATGAACACTAAGAAACACTGAAAATAGGAAACAGATTAATGAATACCATTAATAAAATGCATAGAAAATTATAACAAGGGGCTGAAATCACCTTATAAACTCTTGTAAATTCTTTTGTTAATTAGAAACCCCAAAATTGGATTTTGTTCCCATCTCACTGCTTAGTAAAGCCAAGAGCAATTGTGTCTAATGTGAACAGTGAAAGAATTGCTATAATAGACTTTTACCAGGAGAATTAGTTAGCCCTCAACTCACTAGATCCCACAGTCAAATTAAATGACAATAAAAATCATTAATATGAAGAGACTAACGTCAGTAGTCAATCAGATTAAAAGGCAATGAATGCACATGACTATCCTTGTTACTCAGATGTGTATCTTGTCTGAAATCTCAGCACAGAGTTTATACCCAATTTAGATTATTTGAAATGTCAGTACGCTGCCAGTTGGTTGAAAGCTATAATAAGCTCCTCCAACTCTTGACTTTGATATTTCAGAATGCCAGTTCAAAAAGGAAAAAGTACGACTGAATGATAAAAAACTGCTAAAATTACTAGATGAAACATTAAGAAAACTCTTTAATGGTGATAATGAATGAGGATGCCTAGAGATTTTTAACAGGCAACAAACAGACCCTATATTTCACAAGAAATACTGTTCTGGCACTAAGCCAAATAGAAGTCAGCCTTTTCCAGTAAGAAAAAGGATTCAGGCTTTAAAAATATCCTAATAATATTTCAGCTAAAATTTGAGATTCCTAATGGGTAAAATATTCTCAAAGATAGACACTATATTTACCATTAATTTAAAAGACAGGGCTTATAGTACCAGGCCTCTGAACAGCTGACTTTGTTTTCCTCTGAGACATTATACATAATTAAGGTGGACATGGGTACAAACAGTGGAACCTGCCTAGTTACTTCATAGACCAACCAGCGAGGCTTTCTTCAGTTATGGATTTATGCAGAATAGAGTTACCTAGACTTTTTCCCCCCAACACTACACCTTTTAGATTAATTTACCTTCATTAATTGGAGGCTATAAACATGATTCACAATGTAAAGGGGAAAAGAAAAATTTTTTCTTTTTTTTTTTGGTGGCTGGCCGGTATGGAGATCCAAACTTTTGACCTTGGTGTTATAAGGCTGTATTCCAACCAAATAAGCTAACCAGCCAGCCCTGAAGAAAAAATTTTAATACAAATATTATACAGTACTTTGGTGACCCACAGTAAACTAGTTTCTAATTAGCATGGCTTAATATTCACTTAATCTACTTTTGGGAAACATTCATTCAAAGAATATCCAGGGGAACCTCCTACACTGTTGGTGGGACTGTAAGTTAGTATAGCCATTATGGAAAACAGCATGGAGGATCCTTAAACAACTACAGATAGAACTGCCACATAATCCAGCTATCCCACTGCAGGTATATACCCAAAGGAATGGAAATCATGTTAAAGGGATACCTGCACTCCCATCTTTAACACAGCTCTATTTACAATAGCCAAGAGTTGGAATTAACCTAAATGTCCATCTTCAGATGGCTGGATAATGTGGTATATATACAAAATAGAATACTACTCTGCCATAGAAAAGAATGAAATTCTGCATTCATGGCAACATGGATGAGCTTGGAGAAAATTATGTTAAGTGAAATAAACCAGCACAGAAAGAAAAATACCACATGTCCTCACCCATAAGTGCGAGCTAAAAAAAATAAACAAATTAAAGATACAACAATCACAATAGTTCATTGAACTTTCAAAAGGAGGGAACAGAACTGAGGCCAACAGAGGTGGGAAAGGGGGAGGGGGAGGGAGGTGAGTGAAAAATTGGTAAAGGGTCATGAGAAATGATTACAATGTGTAAGGTTGAATATACTAATTATCCTGATTTCAGCACATATTGCACAGATATTGATATTCATCATTGTACCCCACAGATATGTACAATCAATTATGTTTCAATAGAAGGGAGGAAGGAAGGGAGGGAGGGAAGGAGGGAAGGAAAGAAAAGAAAGAAAGAAAACCCAGTACTAAACAGATTGATTAGACTTATATAGTAACGCACAAAACACCAAAGTGGTATTATTCCAATGAGGAAACAATTTAAGAATGAGCTTTTAGAAGTTTGTGAATTAAAGTGACTTTTTAGAAAAACTAATATATTTCTAAACGTGCATCCAAATATTCGCTGTCACCATTAAGGCAGAAATTATATATTTATTCTAACTTGTGGTCAAAATAGTTTTTCATCAACTCTGAATATCCTCATTTCAATCATTCAGAGTGAGTCCAGGCTGTTGCACAAATTGCATTATAAAGCAAAAAGTAAGCATCTATCAAATATATTTAATGACCTGTTTATGGAGGCAACATCCCAAAAAGTGGAACCCCTAAAATATTTGCAGCAACAGTTCATCCCTGGAAATATATAACCCACAAAGTGACTTTTTTGTGAAGATCATCTATTTGGGTTATATGCTCTTATGTACCTAAGAATAACTCATGCTTCTTAGGCACACTTCCTACCTAAACTCACCTAACCCCTATCCAGACTTGTGAGGCTCAGAATTGACATTTTGCTGCAAATCCCTAAATAGTCCATACTCATAGCTAAGGTAGTTTGCAGGTCACACACCTCTTTCCAACAGGCATTTCTTCCCCTCCATCTTCTAAACACATTACAACACATTTAAACCATATAGTTTTCAAACCAAGATAAAGTAACTTTCTGTCATGAGCAATTGTGCTGACCATGTAGCCTACTTAAATTAGTTTAAACACTATTCAAAAATTATTCTGAATGTGACATTGGAAGAGGACAAGAAACATCCTTTAAACTTCATCCATGGTCTTTCTTTATATGTCCGTCCTGCTATATATCAGATGAAACCACATGAAACTGACATTTCTATAGATCACAAATGGTTGAATACCAGCAACTTCATATGGAACAAATTAATATCACTCTAAGATAAAGAAGTTTGAACACATGCAAAAAAGCTGATGGGACAGACTATTATTTACATGACCATCTTCCTAGCAACAATCTGTATTTTTACAAAGTTTGATAGTTTATAAAAACCCTAACATGTATTATTGAACTCAGCAACCCTGTGTATTAGGCAGATCAGATATACTGATCTTCACTTTAAGAAAATAAGGCTCAAATGTTAAGTCACTGGCTGAAATGTACACAGATGTTAAGTCACTTTTGCAAATGTCCAAGAGCAATGGAGCAAAGAATCTAACCTAAGCCCTTGACTTCAAGATCTTTCCTGCAAACAAACTTCTTCCAAAGGATAATCGGTCATCTAAGTACCAGTACATACACTCTCAATGCTTACATGTGGCCAGATTCCATAAATACCTAAGTGATAAGTGTCTAGATTGGAATAATTAAGTGCTTTCAAAAATGTGGATGAGCATTCAAGTACATTCTTATAATTTATTTGCTCACTTCTGCAACCTGCACTTATAATGTAGGCCTTACACCATCAGTCATGGCACCAGCCTATTTTACTTAACCAAAGCCTGGGATGTGGTTCTCAATAATATCTATTAATTGAATGAATGGTCCATGACTCAAATTGATTTTGGTAATGTAATGACTCCACTTAAACCTTAAAAGAAAAATTTGTTACTGTAATCATCACAATTACTGACGAAGAAACCAGGCAATTCCACACATTAGACTATTCAGCATCGGGCCGGCCCGGTGGCGCACTGCTACAGTGCGCCGCTTGGGAGCGCGGTGGCACTCCCGCCAAGGGTTCGGATCCCACATACAGACCGGTTCCCGCTCACTGGCTGAGCGTGGTGTGGGAGCAACACCGAGGGTTGCGATCCCGTTGCCGGTCCCGGTCCGGTCCGGGTGCAACACTGAGGGTTGCGATCCATTGCCGGACACGAAAAAAGACAAAAAGGAAAAAATAAATAAATAATTAAAAAATTTAAAAAAAAGACTATTCAGCATAAGTGACAGGTGATGAAATGTAATAAGGCTTCCTCCTCAACCACCCACCCCAACTGGCCCATCATGCAATAATGGAATCTTTGTTTACTAATTAAAAATAATATATATTGCGCCAATATATTTAGATAAAGAGACTTTAGATACTTTAAATACTTTAGATACAGAGACTGATAACCCCTTCCTACTGTCTCATATGGTAGGGGTTGTCAATTTTCAGGGATCAAATCTCACCTATGACCAAGAACACATATCTGGAACTATGGTGGCCATGGAGGAGGGAAGGTAAAGACACTTCATAATACACATACACACACCCCCTTTGCTTCTGAGTTATTTTTAAATGCTTTAAATACTTACTCACACAACAGAACACCATTTTCTAGAGAGGCTCGAAAATCCTTTGTTTCAAAATTCTTCTCTGTTATTGCCTGAAAGACAGATTTGGGTGTTAATTTTCTCCTAAGTAGGGATACCACACAAGTCAAACTCAGTATTAGATTAACCAATATGCATGTAATGTTATACTTGAAGGATTTTCATATACCTCCAAAAGCTTATAGGAAATTACGTATTATTCTATGTTACAAAAAGAGAGGTTAACTATTTCAATATAAACAAATATACACAGAAAAACACAATGAGTATTTTCCATAATGTAACTATTTTATTGGATGATAAAAATTAAAAGCTAAACTAAATTTCCAACATATATTCCATAAAAAGAAAACCTAGGGGTGAAAACCTATGGGTAGGAATGAATAAAAACAGTATAGGATATAAACTTGAAATACCAACTATACATGCACATCACTGATTTCAATTCCATCTTTAAATTCCTCGTTTCATCACAAAGCTATATATTCCATAAAAAGAAAACCTAGGGGTGAAAACCTATGGGTAGGAATGAATAAAAACAGCATAGGATATAAACTTGAAATACCAACTATACATGCACATCACTGATTTCAATTCCATCTTTAAATTCCTCGTTTCATCACAAAGCCAAATAGCAGAGCATATGACTCTCCTTAAATTTATTAATGAAATGGCCCTAATTTGTGTAAAGGACCTAATACAGAGAGATGAAAGAGCAGTAAGAAGGTAGATATTTTAAACAAATTGTCCCCAACTGAAGGCTATTACGTATGAGCAGGCTTATATGGTTACCACCACCAATGATCTTGTATTGAAACCTCTAGAAAAACATCTAGACTCTGTCTCTAGAAGGTGGGGTGGTTGAGAGAGGAAAAGGGATTCCACAGGGGAAGGAGTAGCAGAGCAAATGGGGGCTAGAGTGGGAAAAAAGGCTGCTCCAAGAACAACTCCCTGGACTGGGTCCCCAGCTAGGGGGAGGGCAGGGGGTCAACAGCAGTGACACCAGCTACCCTAGAGATGTATCCACTACCTGGAAACAGAAGTTCTTGCTCCCCCTGCCACTTAAGGGAGACATGTGTTTCTAGAATCTTGAATTGGAAAGTCACTAATCTTAAAGCCAGGCCAGCTACAGGGCTTGATGAAATAATGGTCACTACATTCCTACTGTCCTCAGTCACAGCAGCCAGCTTCCCAGGGATTCCTAGAATCCCTCGATGTCTTAATGCCCAACACTGCTGTAGCTAGACATGATACCTGTTAACTGACAAAATAAACTTTTAGAATTGAAGTTAGTTTCTCATAAGTAGGTTCTATGAATATGGACAGGAGCCAACAAGGCCAGGAGGTGAAACACTCAAACGCAGGAAGTGGAAGATCCTTCCCTATACGCAGCATTAATCTATATAAGGGCTGCATTGCTGCATGAATTAAACATGTGCTGAGTGTCTCTGTTACAGCACTACCTGTATACTGAGTGGAGATTAAAAACAAAACAAACAAACAAAAAAGGCAGGCAGCTCGTCCCTCAGTGAACTCAGAGCCACACAAGTAAAACACAATGTTTAAAAGCACAATATACATACCAAACAGAATGGTACATTCTTTTGGGAATAACCTTGTGTGTCACAGATAATCTGTACAACACAAACTCTTTTGAAGTCTCCCCCAAAAGATCCAAAACAAACTCAAGGTGAACACACGTGTCAATTACCAAAAACACAGTCACATCTCATTCATCAGGAAACTCTTATCCAAAGCCATAAGCATTAAAAAGGCCCAGAAACATACAAAGCAGATGCCAAAGTCCACTCTCTCTAGTCACAACAAAGTCCCTCAGAGCCACCAATACCTAATTATCCACTACTGAAACAATCTGGTGATTACATTCCCAAATCAATATAAATTAGAAGCAGTGATGTAGAGGAAGGGCTCTGTCCTGCAGACACAAGGATAGCAGTGAAGAGCAAAAGTCTGCAGCAGTGAATGGGTCAATCAAGAGGACAGAGTGCAGCAAGTGATGAAATGGAAAGAGAAAGGGTTCAAGTCAGACAAAAGTAAATTCACATCCCACTTTTACTACCTAGTAGCTGTGTGATTTTAAGCAAGTTAAGGAACCTCTCTGAATCCCAGTCTGCTCATCTGAAACAGGGAAAATATCACTACTTATTAGTTTGTAATGTTTGAGATGTACAAATACCTGACAGAAGCTAAGCAATATGTGCTTAACCTCATTACATGCATTGACCCTGAAGTTTCTGACAACACTCCAATAATTAACCTATGATTAAAGAAACATCACTGCATCATATAGACAAAACTGAGTTATATTCTGAATATCATTTAATAAAGTAGAAATAATGGAATATACAGAACTATTCAGAAAACCCAACTATCCAGAATAGTTCATCACCCAAAAAGGCAAGATTATAATATGCAGTAGATTTCACTCTCCCATGTCAAAATATTAATTTATTCTTGTATTTATATATTTCCCAAAAATCTAAATAATGATATACTATAATTATAAAAAAGACAATTATAAAAACTAAACAAAGGTTTTTAATAATAGTTTATACTCTGAATACATGGGAATCTGGCATGCTCTGCAGACTATCAAAGGTAATATAAAATGCCACCATTCTAGAAGGCAATTTGTGATATGTCTCTTACTAAGATAACAGGACAAACACACAAAGACACAGAAGATTTGTTTTACAGCATTCTGTATAATAAACAGCAACAATTATGAAAATCCTGAATGCCCAGCAATATGAAATTGGTTAAATTAGGACACAGCCTCAAGAGAGAAAACTAATGAAATTTAAACTCATATCATGAAAAAATAATTGCTTATAAAGAACACTTACCTAAAAAGCAATTTATGACACATTGCATGAAGTATGACCCCAGTTTTTATAACTCTATGAGAATGTATCATATAAATAAATATGGAATAAAAATACAGTAAGCATTTCTAAGTGGTGGAATTATAGCCATTTTTAATACTATTTTCTGCTTATATTCTTTAATAACCACAGGTGAGTTTTGCGCAATGCATATATAAATTAATTAATATAAAAAGAGCAACAGTCAAAAGAAGTCAGAATCCATGAGTTGTAGCTCAATTTCCTGTATCTCTTATATCTAAAGAAGAAAGGAAGAGAAAAACATCTGTTTTTATGCTAGGTAATTTTTCTCGGTATCTATGCAACCCACACAATTCTTAAATTTAATAATCCTTATTATTCCCTTTTCACCAGTAAGAAATTTGAGGCTCAAAAGTTCAACTTTGTAGAAAATTACAGAACCATCCACATGCAACAGACTCCAAAAACTAAACATTTTGCAAATAATCATTCAGTAAGAGAGTAACTCAACTACATGGGACACTGAAGTGTTTCTAAACTAAAAAATTAAATTATATCCAATCTACTTAGATTTTCTTAACCTAAATTAGTGAATCTGACCGTGCAATATGCCTTTGTAGTGGAATGAATTATGTCCCCCCAAAACTCCCTGAAGCTTGAGTTATGTCCCCCAAGTTTTATGTAATAGGAACTTAGCACCAACTGTAACTGTAAAGAGAGTGGGAAATCCTGTTATGGTAATTGAAAGGTAGGGCCTTGAAGAGGTGATTAGGTTGTAGGACTGTGCAGTAGTAAATGTGTTAAAAATAGTGGTCGGGGTGTGGTTCTGAGGACTTTAAAAGAAGAGGAGAATCTGTCTCTCTCGTTCTCTCTGCTCTCTCTGCTTCCACCATCTTGCAATGTGAGACCACTGCGTCACTGTTGCCACCACCAGATGGAGTTTGGACTTCCCAGGCTCAGAAACTGTAAGCAATAAATTTCATTTTCTTTATAACTTACCCAGTTCCAAGTATTTTGTTATAAGCAACATAAATGGACTAATATAGCCCTCAGAAATAATCCTGCTAAGGGTATAGAAGGTAGCAGCAAATAGAAATAATCAATTAATTTTAATTTTCCTGGATAAAAAAAGATGTGTTGAATTAACACATGATTCATAAATGGACTAATATAGCCCTCAGAAATAATCCTGCTAAGGGTATAGAAGGTAGCAGCAAACAGAAATAATCAATTAATTTTAATTTTCCTGGATAAAAAAAGATGTGTTGAATTAACACATGATTCTGTGTGTGTGTGTGTGTGTGTGCACATGTGCATGCCAACAGAGACAGAATGAAAATATGCCATTCTAAACTTCATATAATGAAAATTCTCTTTCAATGTTTTAACAATTTCTCTGGTCATTCTTATGAGCATTATAAAACATTCATACTTTATATACCAGCTACCCCAGCCTCAATAACTCAAAAAATCTTGACTAAGTAAAATTTTTAATTAACAATTTCTATATCCATAAAAATTCACCTAAGACCCCTTTTTTAAAACCTATAAGTAAAATTAGAATTAAAGAGGGAAATTACAAATAAAAAATTAGAATTAAGGAGAATGTCCTCGACTTGATAAAAGCTATATCACAAAATAACTTAAATATAACATCATATTTAATGGTAAACATCTGAATGCTTCGTCCACAAGATTTAAAATAGGACAGAGATATCAGTTGCCACTTCCAAGCAACACTGTACTGGAGGTCTTTACCAATCAATCAGGACCAAAAAAAAAAAAAAAAACATATTTATAGTAGGGATCTGCAGTCTATATAGGCTGCGTCAGCTACATTTCTTGAGGTCACTACATGACCTCTACCTTTCCACCAGGTGAGGCCAGGTCGGGGCCCTGGGGCCAGTATCGTGTGTGTGAACCCCTGTTCTGCCACTTCCTACCTGTAACTCTGGACAAATAGATTAACCTCTTAGTTTTCGCATCTGTGAACTAGAGATTAAAAGTGCCCATCTCACAGGGTTACCCTGAGAATTAAATAAGATACTGCATATGACACACTTAGCACTTGCCTGACTCAGAAGCATTCACAAAGGTTACTTATAATTATTAGCTGTTACTGTCCATCTGTATAATAAAGAAGTTTCATCTTAGCAAACAAATATGTTTTGCCAGATGTAACATCC